CTTTTCTGAGCACATGCCCAAGCCTTGTCCCTAGTTTTCATGAGCTTTGTAATCAAAGGATCAGACCATGGTGGGCGGTTGCCTTTAGTTTTAAATCTAACCAACGGAGCATGTTTGTTAAGAATTTGGAGAAACGTGTACCTGAAGGTCTCCCAAGCCGTAGTCAGGTTGGGGATATCACAGACCTTGTCAATATCCGAGTGAAGCACATCATTAGTAAATGCCTAAGTGCTGAAGTGTCTCATAGAGTGCTTCGCAACCAATTTAGGGGGGGCTTTGGGTCTGGCTGATGATCTCACCCCAAAAATGAAGGAGTGATCACTAAGGTTATTACCCAGAACACCAGTCAGTGCGAAATTGTGAGGGGCATTTGTCAATAGGACGTCAAGCAGAGATGACTGTCCCGGATTTTTTAGGTTGGGTCTTGTGGGGACATTCATTGATTGAAACAGATTAATGGTGTCTTAACACCATTCTTCACAGTCACTTCCGATTACACTGCAATCGCATACTTTGTTGTGTTTTGCATTTAGGTACAACATAGCCCTCGGCCCCTTGCGGCGACTTTCAGAAAGCGACGTGCATCAATGCGTGCGCAATTTGTAAGGCCGCGGTGACACAGAGTTATTTCATTGTAAGGTTATAATCCCTTGTTCATCATGGTGTCCTTTTTGCTTTAACGTCTCAACAGCGTTACGGAGATCGCGTGATGTGAAGGTTCTGCCTTTGTAGTGAGGGTTGTAAGTTGATGCTGAGGAGGGGGGAGGAGGCGCCCCGCCCCCCCCCCCCCCCCCATGTGGAGTGACGTCACCCGCTAATTAATCATTTTAATGGTGGGGGTGTCCATTTGGAAGACGTCACCTCTTCATGATTATTAATGTGGGGGGGATGTTCGATGTGGAGTGACGTCACCTGCTCATGATTATTAATGAGGGGGGGTGCTACATGTGGAGTGACGTCACCCTCTCATGATTATTAATGAGGAGGGGGGTGTTTGGAGGACGTCACCTGTTCATGATTATTAATGAGGGGGGCTGGCCGACGTGGAGTGACGTCACGCGAGGGACACACAGACACTCTTGGCTCATTATATTGTGATATAACAATGGGGTAGAGTTTTGGTAAGATGTGGCCTAGTTAAAAGAGAAAATGCCTTCTGGAAGATAAATATTTTGAGGCAGAAGGACTTGAAGATCCCAACTGAACCGGACTCCGTGACTGCCTTCGGCAGAGGGTGCCACAGTCCGGGTGCCACCGAAGCCACGGCCCAGAGATCACCCATGGACTTGAGTTTTGTCCTGGGGATGCAGAGGAGATCCAAGTCCACCGACCCCAGTGTTCTTGTTGGAAAGTAGGGGCTCAGTAGCAACTCCCGGAGGTGCGAGATCATCCAGGGCCTCGAATGTGAGGAGTTGGAGACCTTGAACTCGATACGGAATTTAACCAGCAACCAGTGAAGTGATGAAAGCAGAGGGGTGATATGTTCTGAACGATGAGATCGGCCCAGATCACTGGCTCGATCTTCTTGGTGTCACAGTGGAAACGATGGCCAAGTTTCTCAACTCCTCCCGTCTCTATTTGCACAGATACATAAATTGGTAGCCCACAATTAGTTAATCGGCAGGTCGCGTGTGGTGGGGTCAAGTGTGGGTACTGCCAACTCTTCCACGAGAGGTCTGGTCAATGTGGAAGAGTAGACCAAACGTACCCTCGAGAGTATCTCACTGGAGCTCCCGATCATTGGAGGCACTTCTATTAGCAGTGGTGTGTGCAATTGCAGGGCTGCACCCTAATCTTTTTTTGCAATCTTACTTCAGTGAGTAGAAATATACAACCAGGTGGAATTTAAAAGACTCCTTTTCAGGGGAGACCTGGCTGGGTCACGAAAACAAGTAGGCCAACACTGAATAAGAAATACACAACACGTGCAATAAACGTCAAGCACACATAATACACAGGTATGGACACTTGCCAGAATAAAAACAAAACGCTGTGAGATTAAACTTGACATAAGAACTTCACACAGAATGCTCAGGAAGCAGTCAGCACCAGGCTAATTTTCCCTGGTGGGGAGACAGGTTTCCACCAATACATTTGTAACGACTCGACGACAGTTATATGAAGAGTCACATTTATTTGAAGACTTCCACAAAAAGGGACCCTAGGCTTCGTGCTTGTCTTCCCGCTTGTATCTTCCTCCCCACGTCCCCACTCCTCGTGCTCTCCCCTGATATCTCCCTGAGCCCCCTTTCTCGAAACTTCCTCTCCTTGTTTTTACCTCTAGCCGATCTCTATCCTTTCTCTTTAACGGATCCTTTTTGTTTTCCCGTTCCACCCTAATTCTCCAAACCCTTTAAAGTCTGCCTCCCGACCAATCACTGTGGAGGCCTCTTTCTTCCAATCGGAGACTTTTGGTTATTTTTAAATAGCCGTTAGGCTGCATATGGCTTGGGATTATTTTTCGGCCATTACACATTTTTGCATGCTTCTCCAAAACCTCGGTAGCCCGAGCCTTCATGAATCCTAGCAGGGTGCGGCGACATACAATTGTAAATCCACAGGCTTATAATGTGGTCGGAAGGCCGGTGAGATCCAATGTACGCGAGACATCCCATGCAGACCGCTGACTTATTTGTAAGGACACGCACGTCCTGTTATGCACTCTTTTCTCTGCGCATTCCGCGCTACTCCTATGGTCAACAAATAATTGGTCAAAATACCGTACACCCAACGGACGTCTTTAAACTTTCTGGGATAGACATCGTTACTGCATTCCAAAATGCAATTATGTCAGTGCACAATCCTTTGTCAAAGCCACTACTGGATGAAGGCCTCCCCACACCGTGTCTGAACATACTTCGCCATCTCGGTCAGTGAAGGTTAATGAAGGGAGTGCCACGGGACGGTTCAGGTATCACTAGCCACTGGTGTTAAGCATGGCAAGGCATCTGAAGTCACCTGGCTCATTGCGCAATGCGCTGATCACGGTACCACTGCCTCCAGCATACTGACTATTATATTCGATAATATATAATTCATCATTAAATATAATATGCGATAATCAGTTCTGTATCTGACACATTTTTTCACAGGCGTGGGAGGAGTTAAACTGACCTCTGGCAAGCTGGTTGGTGTGAATGTGTGTAGTTAGTTCAGAGGAATTGCCTTATAAAGGCATGGCAGTGGCTGAGTTGGAAATGATGCCCATGTGCCCAGATGCGCAATCTACATGTACAATGATAGTTATTTTTTGGTTCTTTCGGTAAAGTCACGTAGAAAGAAAAGAAAATAAATAATAGAATACGACGTTTCGATTGCAGCACAAGCAACCGTCATCAGGTGTGAATGAATGCAAGCTCGGAGAGAGACACATATACAGAGAGAGACAAACACAGACACGGAGAGAGACACACACAGAGAGAGAGAGACACACATGGGGGAGAGCCACTTAGAGAGACACAGAGAGAGAGAGACACACATGGGGGAGAGCCACATAGAGAGACACACACGCAGAGAGAGACACACAGAGACACACAGAGAGACAACGCCTCTGTGACGAGGCATTATATATAGAGAGGGGGGGGGGGGGAGCAGAGAAATTAGCATGTCAATGAGAGCGGTATGGGGAGAAAAATTGGAAGTTGACAAATCTAGTAACATTTAGAGAGCGGCAGGGGGAGAGAAATTGGAAGTTTGAGAAAACAAATCTAGTAAACTTAGAAATGTAATGCAATGCAACACAGAGAGTCGGCTAACACAACAGTTAACACTTTACCTGGTTGATTACGTTCTTCCAAAGATTGCTAAATTTGAAGTTTAAGTATGAGTGGTGTGGAAATCCTCCCCGTAGAGGTGGTTCATAGTAGTTCGTAGTTCACGCCACTACTGGCATAAGGTCTCCACTCATGAAAGCTCTGTTGGGTATTTTGGCCTGAGCTTCCACGCTGATCAGGCGTCTTGGAAGTACCCACACTTTATCCTACCACACACCACCTGCCGGTCGACTAACTGTGGTTAACACCGTTTATACTGCTGCGTGGACGGAGGCTGAGAGATTTAAGATACTTCCCGTAGTATAAATTTGTCCCAGCGGCGACCCCTGGATTATGATGATGTCGATGATGATATCTCCGAAAATGAACAATCGTGAAAATAGCTAGATTGCAAGATCCCACCGGTGTCCGTCTGGTACTCGCCGAGATGCAATGGCTCCTGGTTGCCGAGCGAATACATTATAAGGTCGCACTCATTACACCCACAAGGTGCTTGCCACGTATGGACCACAATACCTTGCTGATCCCATCACGGGAACTCCGGGCATGCTCGCAGTAGCGTTTGGCCGACCATCGAACAAAGACGGCCACTGCATCGCGCTTTCAGATGTGCTTCTGCGGCCGTCTGGAACGCTCTTCATTTCGATCTAGGAAGCCAATTGGAGCGATGCACTTTTGAATCTAGATTGAAAACTCGTTTCTTTAGAACCGCTTTTTTGTGTTTAGTTTGTTGTCCTTCTCCCCGCACCTCCAATTATCATGGTTGGCTACATATGGTGCGAAAGAAGTGCAGCACGCATATATACAAAAATAAACAAGTTAACTCCTTTCCAATATAATTTGATATGTATATAGAGCGCCTTCACTCAAAGCAATTACCATAGCTTACAAAACGATGACAGAACGGAATAATCTCGTTGACAGGGGCGTGCTACAAAGGTCGAGGAATGAGTGACAGCGCTCGAGGGGTACTTAGGGATCACGAAAGGGCAGGGGAGAGACAGGAAGGAGTGGAGGGGCAAGGGGAGGGAAGAGGTAGAGAATGGGCAGTAGAGAAAAGGTGAGGCTTTAAGAGAATCAGAATATTTATTAACACTGGAGGAACCCGATGAGCTATGAACTCGTTTTCACAGATGTCCAGCATTTTCACAGATCACCACTCGGAATGGAAGGAGGTTCACATACGCGCACCTGATGTGCATGTGTGTGTGTGTGCATGATGCGTAGGAAGCGTGAGCAGCTCCCAGGACGACCAAGAGGCGGCTGGACGCGCAGTGGCGTTGGTCATCAATGGGGCACGCCGCGGCTTCGTGCCGCTGTGCGTCGACGTAGCCGGCCTCCTCCGTTCGCAGCGCAGGTACCAGCGCCAGCGGCACGCCGGGGCAGACCCATTGCTCTCACTTTGGTGAGCAGAGCAATCCTTCGCGATCCATGGGGCAGATAGCCCGTAGTAGGTGTCCACTCCACATTTCGTCATTTTTTTTCCCACTTTCCTCTGTCTTGTGCATATATTGCTCAAGTAAGTGGAGGCATCTTTCTGGCATGAATCCCTTATGTGTCGTCGTTGTCAGGCCATTCTCTGTGAGGTATTCCTCTCTTTCCGGTTTGTCTTCCATTTTTTTTCCATTCAGCACAACATATATGTCCAAATAGTGCCAGTTTCCCTCTGAAAATGCCGGGGGTTAGCGAGTCCACAGTTGGCTAGGGATTGCGGTACGTTCCTGTTCACGAGTACTCTGCGTTAATGCTTCCGGATTTACTGGGAGGCTGCACCGGTATTTTCCCCCTTGCCTCGGTCAGCCCCACCTGCTCGTGCATAGCCGCATTGACCAGCGTGATGAAGTACGGTCAAACAACACCCCTCGACCAATACGTGTAGGGGAGACCTTCATCCAATGGAAGATGGACAATGGAGTGTGTGTTATTATAATTCTTAATAAAAACAAACACTATAATATTAAAGTCATTAATCATTATGGCATACTATTGAATGGTTGCATACTAATATTCATGGTGAGATTGACATGATTATTTTAAATATTCATGGCATATGACCCAGTTGATAAAGCAGAAGGACTCTTGATCATGAAATACCTAATGATTTACCATAGCACGCTGTCTCTACATAGACACGTGCATATACTTTGCATATACACTCGGGTCCCTACGTATCTGCTTGGCAAATACATATGTACATTATTCCATCTTTGTATTTTTTTAGCACATGACACACTTGTGCCAACTTGCTGCTTCCAGCATGCATCTCGGTTTTGGCACGCATTTCACACCTCCGATAACCACGTTTGGCTACGTACGGTGCGAAAGAAGTTCAACATACATACATACATATGGTACGGTGCAATGGGCACTCGAGTATTTAGCCTGAAAGACTTTGCAGAGATTTCTATCAGCATACCCCCTTTCCAAAGCATTGCATGGCATGAGAAGCATCTCATCGCAAGCGGCGGGCTAAATAGACCTTTCACATACCCATGGTGGCTGAAACATTGCTTTGCATTTCTGCCTCTTAAGATTTTAAAGAAGCAAAGTATAAACACGGTTTGCGAAAGAAACTAAAACGAAATGGGAACAAGAGGGCAGAAGTTTTGGCATGTCATTGTGTCTAAGCGCCATTGTGAAGACTGACGTCTCAGTTACTAAAGAAGGTCAACATGACATGCGGGAAGTATTTTAAGTTGTTACTTTAGTTCTGGGGGTTACCGCCGCTGTGGTGCAAAGGTTCGCACACCGGACTTGCAATCCAGGTCGTCACCGGAGTTCGATCTTCCGGTGGGTGCAACAGTTGAAACAATTAGACAACTTTCTTAAATCCCCCCTCCCCCCCTCCTGCCACAGTTCTGTTTCGTCAATGCAAGTCATTCATTCGCGTTCAACCTGACGCAAGGCAGCAACTTGTTTTTTTTGTTGCCTCTCGTTAAAATAACACAAAACGGACCAGACCCATTTGTACGATGTAAAACGCCAACAAAATCAAGTGCCAGACGAATGGCACACCGCGCATCGGGGACAGGGTAGGCCGTATAAACCCATGCCAATGGTGCCATTTCCTCTGCCGCTTGAACCGCCTGCGTCTCGTATGGGCCGCGTGTTACCTTCACCGTGGGGCCCCTTTTGCTGTGTCATGGGGAGATGCTGGTCCAGGCATTAACCGAGGAAGCCAAGGAATGCAAATTACCCAGGGCCATCTCTCATCTGGTGGCGTTGAAGCCAGCGTGGGCACCTGCACGTTCATTCGCTCTCTAACAACCCAAGCAGAATATAAGTTCGTTGTTGTTGAGCGTCGGCATTTGGAGAGAGAGAGAGAGAAAAAAATCATTGGAGTTTTCTTCAGCATAAAATCAGCAGGCTTTGTCATACAGACGTTACACCTACAGTGTATGCGTAGGGTGGGTGGTGGCAGTGGAGCTTTGCACACAGCAATTTGAACCAGACGACCCAAGTTCGATTACAAGGCTACGCCTAACATTGCGTGGTGTCTGAACCAGTCATGCCTCTCACCCGCTTCACTAACCCGCACTGACCAATGTGAGGAAGTATGGTAAAACAAAAATTCCCATGTCCTACATGGTGTGTGAGGAGGCCTTCATCAAGCAGTGGATTGACAAAAGGGGTGTAAATTATTGTTCTGATATGTAGGAAAGGCCTGCATTTAATTGCTTTTATAAACTAATATTTAAATCATAATACAAGTTTTTTTGGGGGGTTAGGTCGCGATCTAACCCAAAAAGCCTGTATTTTGGATATTGGTCGTGAAATCCTACGTATTAAACTGAATATTTAAGTCAATTGGCCAATGGGCCTTTTGAACCAGACGTGGATATTATTAAATTCTGGTGATGAAACAGACACCGTCACAGTTCATGAATGCATTCATAGGCTTCATTCTACTCTTCGGTTCTTTCGGTAAAGTCACGTAGGTAGAGAAAAATAAAATAAAAAATAATATATCGGGACGTTTCGATCGCAACACAAGCGGTCGTCCTCAGGCGGAAAAAGTCTTCACCCTGCTTGTACATACGGTGCGAAAGAAGTTCAACACATGTACATATATAGGGGGTCTCTCACACACCCATTCTTCTGGTTTTGCTCGTCCCTCTCTTAGCTCTCAACAGGGCCATTCTTTAAGATTCCATTCTTGGCAATGACCGTTCTGGGGTCTATCTCCTCTAACTTGGATAATGTCATCTTCAGCTTTCAAAATTGGCCATAATTCCTGCGCTGATGACACTCAGCACCGCACTTCCATTGGCTCCTGTGACCCAACCCGGGTGTGTTACTGTCCCCGTCCTATCTTGATGCAGCCTCAGCTTGAAAATTGGACTCCCTCCTGGTATGTTGAGTTCTCACGTCAGACGTGGTGCGAAACATCGGGAATCATGGCAACCCAAAAGCACATCGGATAGTCATCCTGATGTGTGGTAACACGCAGATGCTTCGTATATACAACTTGCGTGGCAAATGTGTGTGTTTTAACCCGCAGGTGATAACCCATTGAGATGAATCCTGTTTTGCAAGATAAAACTTGCAAAACAGACGTACCTTGCAATTACACATATTTTGTGTTATCACAACCATCTTTACATCATCTTGTAAGTGAGGACATTGTAAAACGTTCCCTGCTTCCTTCAATGAAGGCTGATTTGATTGACTGTCCTGAAAGAACAAAACGCAACTCGAGGCAAGTTATTTGAACAACTAAATATTGGCTGACTTGGCTGGCGTTGCTCGTGGCTGCAAGAACATAATTGCAGACAGTGATGGACCTATCCCGACTCACAAGGCCTGACACATGCTCCTAAAGAACACTATAATCTTATTATTTGGGTCTTTCGGTCAAGTCACGTAGATAGGTAAACAAAAAGAAAAAAAGAAAAAACTATGACGTTTCGATCGCAACACAAGCGGTCGTCATCAAGAAATTGTGTCTGTATATATGGATGGTTTCATGAACGAATCTTTGTTGATAGCCAGTGGGTTTGCAAAGCACCTTCGTCATAGAGAAATCAATTTCGTGTGAGCACACCGCATTAAAACAATGATCAGCCACGGCCGAGGTATTGGTCCTACCGTGTTTCAGATCTGCCTTGTGTTCACGAACACGGTCCGAGACATATCGCTTAGTTTCCCCACTGTAACTACTGCCGCAGACACAGCTTAGTTTGTAGACGCCGGGGTAATGCATGTCAGGGATCACATCCTTCACAGATGGGATCAGATCACAAATTTTATATACTGTATTAAATCGAACCTGGATCTTGTGTTTGCTCATGATTTTGGAAATATTTTTGGTGACCCCTGCTACAGATGGTTATTTCCCAACGGTTTGGATCGCTTAAGGATTGTGTAGTCTGAATATCCATTCATCTTGAGAGCTTGATGTACGTGTTCCAGTTCACTGGCTAGGTGATAATGGCCGGAAATACATAGAACTGTATGGTGTAGAGTTTTGATGAGGGAATCATGGGATGGATGGTGTTGGGAGTCAGGTTTTAGGTAGGCATCCGTATGGGTGGCTTTCCTGTAGACAGTGTCCCATTGAGCCATCTAGTCTCTTTTCGATTAAAACATCCATCTTAGTGTACGTTCCCAAAATGCGACTGCATCTCAGGGATGCACTACATATATTTTCTAAAGTTAAGTGAGAAATTAGGGGCAGCAGTTTCATTGGTATGTATGTTGAACTTTTTTCGCACTGAACGTAGCCAACCATGCTAACTGGAGGTGCGGGTGAAGGGCAGTGATAGCCCCAGACTAAATCACTTGGAATGTGCCTGGTCTCATGCAGACCTTGGAAAGTGAACAGTGTTGAGTCTTGATAGTGATTAACGGGTGTCCACCATGCACCGTACATAATAGGTGTTGTAGGCTGACAGGATAAGTTGTGGATAGCAGAATGTCGTGCAGCAATATCCACTGCTGTATTGTACGTCTATGATGCTTCCCACCTTCACCAAGCTGCATTAACCAGTGTTGACAAATATGGTCAAATAACCGCCATGACCCACATGGTGAAAGGAGGCCCTCATCCAGCAGTGGATTGACAATGAGCTGTGCATACCCATGGTGATCAAATCATTTGGACAGATTCAGATTTAGATTTGGACAAATAGAAATGGTAAGCCATAGGTCGAGGAGAAGAATGTATGTATGTTGGACTTCTTTCGCACCATACGTAGCCAACCATGCGAATCGGACGCGCGAATATCTTAAGTGGAACATCTTAAGCCTGGACTTTAAATGACAGATGTACCAGTCAGCAGGTGGAGAGCAAGAGGGAGTCCCAGGCAGCATTATTATCAGCAAAAGAATGAGGAGTGACCTCCCATTGAGTGGAGG